CAGTGCCTACTGCGCTTCACTTTTCAAAGGCCAGGAAATGTTTTAAGAAGTTGAGCTCCAAAACAGATTAACTGTAGCCAGCCAACAAATTTTTATTATAAGCTCTTACCTTATGCCAAGAACTATACTAAGCACTAAGAAACAGAGAGGGGCATAAATCAGATCCTGCTCTCAAGAAGTATGCATTCCAATGGAGAAAACAGAACGTATGGAAATCAGGTACACGGAAAAACATACAGAATAAAGGTGATCTGAAAGAAAACATTTGTGGGGGTGGGGGTGGAAGAGGTGGAACCTAGAAAAACTGCAAATCTGACATGTCTTTAAGGAAGCCAGGTAAACTAGAGGTACAGGTGACTGGACAGAGCATTCCAGTCATGGTAACCGGCCAGTTGAAAGGCAGAGAGAAGAGAGAGAGATGTTCGAGAAATACCAAGTCGGCCACTGTGGCCAGACTGTAGCCAAATACTTGGAGGTGAATGAAGTACAAGGAATGGACAGGTAGGAAGGAGCCATGTTAGGAAGGAGCCATGTTATGAAGAGCTTTAGACACTTGAGATTTAAATTTGATTCTAGAGGTTAACAGAGCCCTGGAGCTCTTTTAAGCAGGAGAGTGACAAGAGTTTTATGTACCCTCTGTGGCTCAAGAAGAGAGTGGACTAGGAAGAGAATTGAGGCAGGGAAACCAGCCAGGAGGTTATGGCAATAAATTGTCTGGATGAGGGCCTGAATCATGGTTCTGGTTATAGGAGTGGAGAAAAAGAAGTATATACAAGAGATGTCAAGGTAGAAACATCAAGCCTTGTCCAGGGACTGGCTATGTGGGATAAGAGTAAAGAGCTGAGGACAATACTGACATTGTGGAATCGGGAGACTAGAAAGATGGATGGTGATGTCTTCAATAATAATTACGAAGAGTGGGAGGTTTGGAGATGTCTATGGGAAATCCAGTTTGAGATGTACAAGAGGTAGTAGGATATGCATAACTGAGCCTCAGCATAGCTGGATATACAGATGTGGGAAACATCTGAAAAGAGATAAAAATTGAACCCATGGGAAATCAAGATCACCAAGGCAGAAGGGGACCAGAACAGAGCCTTGAAACACTGACCATAGATGCCCCTACGTATGATGAACCAGCAAAAAAAGACCATGAGGTTGATAATCAGATGGAAGTGGGCGACATGTAAAGGACTATGATGGAGATAAGACCATTACATCTGATCTGGCAACTAAGAGTAGGAACTCTGCAGAGAGCAGTTTGAGTTGAATTGAGGCTGAAAGCTAGAGAGAAAATTAAGAGAATTTATAAAGGCCTGTAAAGGAAGTGGAGGGGTGAATTATAAACAGATGCTTTTCTTGAGGACAGGGGAGTAGACAAAGGACAACAGCTATTGTGGATGGTCAGATTAAGTGTGTGTGTGTGTAGCTAGGTGGCACAGTGGATAGAAAATCTGGAGTCAGGAGGACCAGAGTTCATATCTGGCCTCTGAGACCTACTAGTTGAGTGACCCATACCCAATTGCTTCCCACCCAAAAATGGCTATGGTAGATGTAGGCTTGTTTGTAAGCATCAGGCAAGGAGCCAGAAGACAGAAACAGAAGATGAGCAAGTACATATGACAGTTGCTGAAGTTGAGAGGGGATAAGTTCAACTGCACATGTATGGAGAAAGAGCTATGTCCCTTCTCTTCATGTGAGATAGTTGGACATTGAAAAGTTATGATGATGTCAGTCAAAAAGTGAGGGAATGGCAAGTATAGAGTTGAATTAGTTCACAAAGTGTAAATAGAAAAACTTGGGACAGCCAGGTGGTGCAGTGGATAGAGCACTGGGCCTAGAGTCAGGAAGACTCATCTTTCCGAGTTCAAATCTGTCCTCAGACATTTACTAGTTGTGTGACCCTGGGCAAGTCATTTAATCTTTATTTGCCTCAGTTCCTCATTTGTAAAATGACCTGGAGAAGGAAATGGCAAACCACTCCAGTATCTATGTCAAGAAAACCCCAAATTCTGCCATGACTGAAATGACCAAACAACAAAAATAAGGATTAGAAAGGGAGAAGAGTCTGTAGTCATGATGTCCAGGGAAAGAAATGAAGAATGGGGGAATGGAGGTCCCAGTGAGGATGAAAAGGCAGAGATGACAGCATAAAAAAATTGTGATCAGAAAAGGATACTTCATAATTTATAGATCTGGAAATAGAATACTTCTAAGTGCCTGAAGATCAAGGGTAATAGGTATCAGGTAGATTGAATAACTGTGAAGTTAAGAATATCCAAGGGGCTAGCAATATGTATGCTGAAGCCCCTGAGTATCAGGGTAGGAGATAGGGAGAACAGAAAGACTGAGCCAAGCACTGAACTGAGAGCAAAGAAGGAGAAGGTCCTGAAGGACCTAGAGATAACTGCCAACAAGATCTGGGAATTGGTGATAAATTTGGATAATGTGATGCTCAAAGAAGAGGCTGCTTACTAAAAATGCTTAATGGATTGTCTTGAAGTGGCAATGTGAACCGACTAATACAACTCCCTCACCATGACCACTCAGTTGGGTGGTATTAGACAGGTAATCTGTACTGTGTCGAGGGAACTAGTGGAGTTATGAGGGAGTCTTGCCTCAGGGAAGGCCAGAGTATGTAAAGGGTGAGATAAACAGAAGTTTAAGATTAGAAATTAATTGTGGAACAGGCATTTCATAGAGCGCAGCGGAAGGGGTGGGCATATCCAGAGTGGGACATTGGTGGGTTAGAATTAAGGAGGATAGGCATGAGTCAAGGAGAATCACAGTGGGCTACTCTTGTCCAAGTCTAAATAAGTCAAACATGACCACAAGCATCACACGCAAAAAAAGCAAGAATAACTTATGATTGTATGAAGATGATTTTATAATTAACTCTGACACATAATCTGGTTTGAGAAAGACTTATTGAGAAAAAGGGAAACCTGACTTACAACATTTTTATTATTCCAATGTAAAATAGTTGCGTAATCTCGTTTGAGAAAGACTTACTGAGAAAAAGGGAAACCTGACTTACAATATTTTTATTATTCCAATGTAAAATAGCTGCAAAATTGCTCAACAGAGGTTAAAGTCCCTTTTATATTTTTAATATTCAAAAAGGAGAGGAGACAGAACAAGGATAATCAAAAATTAAACTCAACTTAAAACAAAGTAAAATTTGAGCATAATGATTTTAACACTTCTGTTGTAACTAGAAACTGCAAGTCCTCCAAATAAAGTATTTTATAACTCGAGATTCTCTTAAAAGAGCTCATATTAGGTAAAGTAGCTATTGTATTCTAATAACAAAAAGCAAAGCTGTGACATAAATTTTACTATTACATACAATTAAAAAAAAACTTTTAAGTAAAATATTTCCTCCTAAAAACTGACGCTATTCCAAGTGTCCTTGGGGATCTGAACACGAATTGATATATTTTTTCTAGTTGTAGACAAATATTTTATCCTTTACCAGGAGATGACATCTCAAATAATTATTTGTATTCTTAAGCTTCAGTTACTGAGTGGTATGAGAGAGAACAGTGCTTTTTGCCAAACCACGGATGTATTACTATTATTGAGTATGCAGGTTTTTCTACTTCCTTAAACAATTTGATGAAATGCTTCCTGTAACAGTGACAGTTACCTTTGGGTAATCCTAAAATGCAGACCTATAAAAATAGATTTACAGATGATTTTAACAACTACAATATAACTCCATCTTCATGAACATTAATTATATCTTTTCCATCAGACGAATTCTTTTTAGCACTTTTACAAAAAAACAAAACAAAACCACACTGTAGTTTATTCCTCCAACAAAACTGCAGAAGAATTACCATCTAAAATCAGTTCAACTATGAATAAAAAAAAAATCAAATCTGTGCTTTCTTAACTTCTCAGTATTGGAACTTTTTTCCTCATATTTTAAAGGTACCTCCTCCCACTCCCCAAAATCACGGTATTATTCACCTGTCATAGTAGTGACGCTTAGGTTAGAAAAAAAGGGACCAGAGATGTCACATGCTCTAAACCAATCCTATTTTAACAATTGAGGAAACCCAAGAGGCTATATGATTTGAGCTCATTTGGAATACATAAAGAAATAGACATCTGTTATTCTCCCAGTGAGCACTGGTTTTTCTTTTTAAATTTCATCTTCTCAGCTTTTCCCAAGTGACTGAATATGATAATCACTTATTTCTTAAACCAGGCAAAGACCACCTTCTTTTGGCTGTATGATGTTTACATGGTGCTCATCCTTTGCCTGTATGGAAACAATACAGTGGACAGAGATCCTGAGTTTTAATTTCAACTTTTCCCTCACTACTACTGCCTGGGTGACTGTGGAAAAGTAAGGAACTTCTCTGGACTCCAGTCATCTATAAAAATGAGAGGGTTGGAAGGGATGATTCCTAAATCCCTTCTAACTCTTACCTATGACCAATGATATCCTCAAACGTTAGCTATGAAAACATCTTACAATGTTCTATTTCAATAGTGCAGATCTGGAGGCTACGCCCAAATCTGAGCATCTCTCCTATTAGGAGCTGATATTCTTATATTGCTATGAAGACTCAATTTGCAGAGCTTTTCACAAATGGGCAATAAATTACAGCGCATCTTTAAGACAAAGAAAACCTTGTTTCTGTCTTAAAATAAAGCAGTACGTAAGTCCACTTCATTCAAAGACCTTTATAACCATAATATGCTAAGTATAACTTCATCCTATATAAAAACAATAAAGTAACGTGTCATAATATTTGTTACCTCCTACTCACATTGTCCAAAATAACTGCCAAACATTACCAAAACATGTTCATATAAGTGATATTGCTTGAGTTACAAAATGCTTTCCCAAGGAAAGATTTTAAGGTGGCTACGTGGATACTCAAATATTACTAAGCAAAATATGACATCTTCCATTCCTGCCATTACTGAGAACCTGGCTTGCCCAAATGTTAAATTATGAAACCACACTGTGCAGAATGCACCCATTACATTTAAAAAAGTTAAACCCATATTTATTTACTAGCACTGTTAAAACATTACACAAAACATTCAAGTGGCAGATAATTATAATGCAAGCCCTTGCATGGCAATCCAAATTTATTGAACTACTGATGCTAAGTTATACAAAATTGCACCACTTTAATTAAGGCTTTTAGTTTACATTTGGCCACCTCAAAGTAGTTGTAACATTAGGTTGGTCAATTTAAATACTGTGGCTCCCTGTTGGATATACACACAATCTTTACACCCAAACGTTAAATGCATACAAAGCAACAAGTCATTGTCAAATAAATCAGCAAAAAGTTAGTTACTGCAACTTAGGCCCCGTGACCAATTACACATGATTAAAATTACTTCCCACATTCACATCCACAGTACTCTTCCACCATTTAACATCTCAACCAAAACGTTACACATGTGAAACAATCACTAACAGGCAAAAGTACTAAACCTGCATATTTGGTATTGCAAATACACTTATGCATGAGCAAGCAAGGGATTCACAGTGAGAATCTACAGCTGCAGAAGCCTGGAAATGATTTACAAAATTGTTAAATCATTAAAAAATTATCTGAAAATATACACTTCTTGTTGTAGACCCCCACTGTACACACAACTATAAACATTGTTCCCTATGTAAACAAAAAGGAAACATACAATAAAAGATTGAAAAGTCTGGACATTTCCTTCCCAACAGATATTAAAGGCAACGTCTTTATCTCAGACATTATACTGAGAGGACTATCTTATTTTTAAAGACAAGATCACTGTCTCCACAGGTTTTTCAAAAAATTAAAAAAACTATAGCTGTGTTAATCAAAGCGCTTTTGTACAATGATGATGACCTTTTATTTCTTTAAAAAAAATTACAATAAGCTACAAATATCAAAGAAGCAAAGTTATCTGGAGTAGTCTATATAGGAGCTCTTTGGACTTTCTTTTATTATGCTAAAATAGTGGTGCTTTTAGGATTTACATTATTGTACTCTCCAATAGAAAGCATGGGGCATGTTAAAGTATACAGTACACCATTTTCATACATGTACAACATCGGTGGATGAACAATGTCTCTTAGCAATAATACTGGATGTAGCTTCTGGTTTTACCAGTTGCATACTCAGACTATTATAAGTAAAAATCTGTCGTGACACTGCAAAGTGATTAGAATGTGCAAACTGATATAGTAGCTTTCATCCACTTCTTAAAGGGTACCACCACAGGAAAGTCCGCTTAAGATGTTGGTAGGTTTAATAAAGTTGGAATGCTGCTGGCACTGTTGAATTGGGCAACAGTTCTTCAGACCTGAAAGAGCAAAGAAAAGACTTGAAAACACCTGGAGAAAAGCTAACCGCCCTAAGGATCACATTAAGGCAGTGACCAAAAAGGTTTCAGCAACCTGAGTATAAGAATTGTACCATTTTTAGTACTTTTGATATCTATTTGAACAGTTAACACGCAAACTTCTGAGCAGTTTTTTCATTGCTTTACTGTCTAATCTCCCTCACTGTGATTTGCACCATAAACTGTCAGTGTGGTATAGAAATAAACCTGGATTTCTATCTGTAAGACCCGTTAAGGTACTACCTGTATGGCCTTGGGCAAGTCAAACTCTGAAACTTAGCTTCTCCATTTCAGTGCTACATCCTGTTATCATAGGAAATAGTTTTCCAATATTTCATATTTTAGAAGGCTGGGGTCTATAGCTCAACATCTAAACATGATCTTAAAATTTTATTTAGCTCAAATGGAAAGTTTTAACATAGGACACAATAAATTTAAATGGACTATCAAAGAATGTGAAATCACATATGACAATACTTAAAGGCTACTCTCCCTAAAAAGCACAATTAGCTATAGAATGTTAACAAAAAAAAAACAAAAAAAAACCCAACACACCAAAACCATGATTATTGAAATGCATGTGAACTAGGAGACCATTAATAGCAGCCTTACAAACTTCAATAGAACATCAGTAGTATAACTGACATTGATGATGACCCAGAATCATAAATGTATTACACAAGATATTTTCTGTTTAAAAAATCAAAGAAGTAGAGAATTTTAGAAAGACTTCCAGTAAATTTTGGTGCCTGAATGGGTAAGCTTCAGCTATGCGAGATCAATTTACTCGCAATAGTTCGTCCTTTCCACTTGCCAAATATGACCTTTTGTTTTGCTCTACTAGTGAAATACCACACTAGTTTAATGATCATTACTTTTAAGGTATAAAATTTTTTTAGTTAGGTTCTTGATGTAATAGTACTTTATGAGACTAAAGGTGATAGATGAAAAAAGTATCACTGGACATACCTGGCTCAGAGCTACAACGCATCTGTATATTAAAGCAATTGACATGATGACTTTTTACGTGCCTTCCCAGGCACTGGAGTTTTTCTGTTAATTTGCCGGACTAGGTCATAAAAGATCTGCAAATACAAATGTGTGATTCAGTTGACAAATAAAGAAAATAATGTATGATTTGTTCATCATAATATAACTCACCCAAGAAAGCAAACATTTATTTTTAACAACACGAATGAGAAACTAAGTGTTAGAGCAGCCGAGTTTCTCTGGATGCTTCAAGACATCCTGAAAAGATCATCCAATTCAACTAAGATGTTGCCTAGGACCAAAAATTTGGCATTCCAGGGGAATATTTATGGTCTCTTTTAAAAGAGATCTAAGGAAAGAATTCCTACCCTCAATGCTTCACTACGGTGTAAAGATCATCTGCTCTTACAGGCTACGCCATGGAAACTCAATCTCTGTTAGACCCGACCCAGGAAAGCCGGTTGGTGCTGGAGGGTAGGCTGCTAGAAGACAAACCTAGTTAAGTTCAGAGAAGATCAACACCAAGTTGTTCCCATGAGGATGATCTTTTTGGTCACTGCCTCTTATCCTAAGTTGCTGTACGAATTAGCAGAGGAGGCATCCACATCAACAAATCACCGATACTTGAAGTATGAAGGTTTATTAAGGAAAAATCCTAAAGCTCTCCAAGAACTTTCCTGTTATTTATCTTATATTAAAATCTTCAAAAATATAGGTATCAATCTTACCTCATTAACGTTTATCTTTGATTTAGCAGAAGATTCTAAGAATGCACAGTTGTTCCATTGTCTTGCTAGGTTTTGTCCTTGCTCTTTTCCTACAACTCTTTCATCTTCCAAGTCACACTTATTACCCACAAGAATCATTGGCACCTGAAAAGTCATTTTTGAGAGGACTGTCAAATGGATCCCAACAAATATCAAAGGAATGAAGATCTAAGTTTTAAGTCTCTAAGCTTTTAAACATAAGTTTAGACCAACTAGGCCTCTAAACAGACCACTCCTCTCAGAAACATTTTCACTACAGGTGTAAGATTGTAGATTTGGAGTTAGGAAGCACCTAGAGATCATTCTATCCAACCCCCTTCACTTTACAGATGAGGAAACCAATACCAGAGGTGAAATGACATCTTTGACATCAAGGAGCACAGTTGGAAATCAAACCCAGGCCTCACGACCAAATTCAGAGCCATTTCCATCATACCACATCATCTGGCGTGTTTTAGAAGCTGATTTTTTTTATTTGGATTGTAATGTAAATTAAAAATCTAAAATCATACAACTTGTTAATTGACTTAGTAAGACAAATAAAGCCACTGACATTTTTGGTCAATGAGACAATGCATCTAAAGCACCCTGGACTATATAAACATGTAGCACACCACATAAATGTTAATTACAAACAATAATTAAGCAAACATCTTTATAGTTTTTTCCTTCCTCATGATTTACATTATTTACCTAATTAGCCCCAAATGCTATTCCTGTTTTCTGTTGCAAAAGACAGGGAGGACTCCTGCCCACAGCTGGGCACCTTTGTTGCAATGTCCCATTTTACAAGATCAAAGTTAGTGGCTTTAAAAAAAAAAAAAAAAAAAAAAAAAAGTGATGCTGCGCCACGGCTTTGTAGGACAGTTAAAAGGAATATGATCAATTTCATCATGAATGTAACAATCCCTCTCTCCCCAAGCAGGTGTGCTGCCTTATTGTGGCAATTAGCCTTTCTCCTCCCAGACAAGAATAAATTTGGCTAGATTAGCAGATTCTGTATCTGCATCAAGGCTATATTTCAGAAGACTCACAGTAGTTCCTTCATTCTTGAGCCTGAAGGGAAGAATGAGGTTTACTGTGTGCTACTAAACTCATGTGTGCTTAAAATGTATATTTATAGTCTAGTAAGAAAATTCAAGATTATGTAATGTTTACTAAAATGATAGAAAAAATTACTTATTTCAACTCCCACCCCAGAAGTGCCTGCCAGCTGTTGTTAATAGTTATTAAACTATATCTCCAATACATGAGTAACAAATATAAGTACACCATTTATAAAATTTCTGACTTTCCCTTCCTCATTGCTGGAACTCTTTGTTGCTGCTGCTATGATGGGAAGCAATTCATATATAAGGGTGTAGGCTTCTAGATACTCTGGGTTCAGGAGTGGAAGAAAAAAGGAGGAATCTGGAAAGAACAGGAGCATCTTAAACTAATTCTGGGGTAAGATGCCTATATTTGATTGGCCTGCCAATAGTTGTTACCCTTCTGCTTAATGAATCCCACCCTCCCCTCTCATTTACTAAACATTTATTAAATAGAAAAGTATATGCTCTCACATTGCTAAAAATAAGAATTTGGGTCAACTAGCATCCTCTTTCAAGGAGTTTACTTTCTGTTTTTTTTTTTCTTTTGCCTTTTTGGTGAGACAATTAGGGTTAAGTGACTTGCTCAGGATCACACAGCTAGTACGTGTCATGTGTCTGAGGCTAGATTTGAACTCAGGTCCTCCTGACTCCAAGGCTGGAGCTCTATTCTCTACGCCACCTAACTGCCCCAGGGAGTTTACTGTCTAATACAGGGAGACAACACATAGGAAGTTTCCAGATGCAAGTCAGATGGTTGTCTTAAGGGTGTGAAGGTAAAGTAGGTATCAATCTATTAACCATATTGGTTTTTTTATACCAAACTGACAGTGCTGAGGGCTTTGGTGGAAGAACTTTCTCTGCTAGGTCTTTAGTAGCTGTGACTTCCCCTCAGTGATGGCTACAAGGGCTGAGTCAGAAAGAAGGGCTGCTGGTATGGTCAGCATGGCTGTTTCTGGGGCTCAGTGGATATTTCAACCACGTTCTCAGGGGGAGGTGGTAGCTTAACCCTTCTGGGAAAAACTACCTCCTTCTTGTCTCCCCCTCAAGATGCCTTGGTATTTCAGCTAGCCTACCTTGTCTGCAGATGGTTTTGGTGGGGATGAGGGACCCTTCATTGCCTTCGATGGCAAGGGCCAGTGGGGGCAGAGGGGTTCTTGGGCTTACATGTACATCAGTGGCAGTTGGTCAGTGGTTAGTGTTGGTGTAGGTGTACAGATGGTGCACCCTTTCCCTACAAAGGTTGGTCACCTCAAAGGTTGCAAGGGTTGAACTGGAAGGTTTTCAAAAACATTTAAAAATTTTCCTTTGACTGGCCCTGTGCCCAGAAAAGGAGGAAATCCCTCTTCCTCCTAACACTGTTCTGTGTCCCAGAGAAGGGAGGAAACCACTTCTTCCTAAACTGTATGGTCTTCCTGTTTCTAGAACTCAAGTTCAACTGCTTCATGGATTAAATAGGGCTTTTGTGGGCTAACCTGGAAACCTAACCATAATTTACAACATCCTTTCTCTGAAGAAAATGCATTCAGAATCCTCACCAAATGATATGCAACATAAACCTTGTAAATTGGGGACTACCTATTCATTCACAACCATGTGTCTTCCCCACCTCCCTGCCTCCAGCAATGTGCTCTTATACAACTAGCTGGGATAAAATTCAGAGATTATTCTGGACTACAGAAGCAAAGATATTTTGAGAGAAAATAACTTTTAAACCTAGTCATTTAAAGAAAATAAAGATTCAAATCCAGCTCAATAGTAGAAAAGGCTTGGCTAAAGTTAAAAAAACAACCACCACCACCAAAACCTCACAAAAGGAGTTTGAGATGGAAGGGGTTGGGCTGTATTAAACTCTAACTCAAAAATCTTAAGTCCAGCAGTCTTTTAGGATAAAAGTCAAAGATTATTTCCAAAGGATTATTCAGTGTCCATAAAGTTGGACAAATCAGAAAAAATTATGTAGGACTTAGAAATAAAAGGAGGGGCTTGTTGAATTCACACTCTCCCATAAAAAATGAAAATATACCAAAACCAGGATGTTTAGGAGGAGACCTGGTAGTGAAAAATCAACATTTCAAAGTTAATTCAAGTTCAAGGTTAATTAATTCTCCAAGCTGCTTTACTGTTTAAGTTTGCTGAATGAAGACTCTTTCCACTACTCCCAACTTGCTACTATAACCTCCCTCCTGCAGAGAGTTGGGTCTTACCATATCATGCAAAAGGTTACTTACTCTACTAGCTTTTACTGAACTGCTCTGATCAGCTTTACTTCTAACTTCTCCCTAGCCCCATGCCAACTCGGTTCTTCTCTCTCCTAGTTCCTTCTTCTGTTCCTTTAGAGAAACTCCTATATTCTCAGTCTCCCTTATATGCTAAATGTTTCAGAACATCCCTGCCGCCCTGCTTTTAATTTTTCTCTAAAGATATCCACATCCCTTAATAACCTTCTCAGTACTGGAAGCCATGCTTTTCTCCCCAGGTAGGCCCATGGAAGTAGATGTAATTTGTACTCCATAGCTGTTCAAGTAACACTCGTCTACTATGAATCCTCAACAATCCTTCGTCTTTCAAATTACATGTAATTATTGATTCATACTCTCTTCCAAACATCCTTGTGGAAATCTTCTGCCAATGCTACTACTCTCCAGGTCACTGTACTGTCTGTCAGGACTTTGGCACCTAGATCACAATCTCTCCCCTCGCTACCTCTAACTCCCTATATATCTACACTTAGATGCTTCAATGTTCTTGTGCTGGTAACCTAATACCCCTGCTCCAACCTGACAAATGCTCAACCTCAACTCCAATGACCTACATAGAACACAGCACGGTTCTATTTGATAGCTCAGCTTCTCAACTGTACAACCTTCCCAACTTTCCACGTGGCTTAAAACCTGATGTATGCCCCAACCATGACTTCGAGACTTGCTCTTTCTTCCTATTACTAAAGTTCATTTTTTCTGCTACTTTGGCTCCATACCTAGTCTTGACCCCTTCTGCCCTAGACCTTCTGTTATTTCCAACTCGATAATCCCCAAGCTTGGGTTACCCCTAAAATTTAATTCTTATACTCTTATTTCACCCACTACAAAATTTTGGCATATATAACCTTAGAATGGAGTCTTCACTGTTCTTCAATATTCACAGAAACTGAGCTGGAAGGGCTCAGTGCCCATCTTTCCAACTGAGACCCAAACAAGAGCTCCCTATATAACACCTAACAAAACTGTAATGAAGGGAATCCATTACCTCCTGAGGCAGTGCATTCAATTTTGGATGGCTCTAATTGTTAAGGTTTTTTTTTTTTAATGTTGAACTTCTACTCATTACTCCTAATGTTTCTCCTCTTGAGGACAAATGAAACAAGCTGAATACCCTCTTTCATGTGACAGCCCTTCAAACACGACAGCTGTCCTGTCTATGCCAAGTATTTCCCAAGCTTTTCCTCCAAATAGTCATTCCTTCTAGCTTACTTATTGACCCCCCACAACCCATATTTTTTGGTTTATTCTTCCTTTACTGAAGACTGAATGGGCTTCATTTCTCCAAAGTTCTCAGCCATGCAGCCTATTTCTCTAATTGACAAACTATCCCACTTTCCAGCAGTTTTTCTAAATCTTTTCATCCCCATTCAAGCCTCCCATGGCTCTCCTTCCTTCCATTCTCTCAGCCGATAGCCTTACCCCATCCCACTCAGGTGACTTTTGCTACCCTCTCTTCCTTCATCCACCTCACACAAAGTAATCCATGTCCTTGCCAAGGCAAATCTCTCTACATGCAGAAGAGGTAATCCTATTCATTTTATCTTCTCTAGCAGATCGCCCCCTCTATCATCTCCATTCTTTCACTTATCTTCAATCTTTCCCCGACTACAGGCTGCTTTCCTACTGTCTATAAACAGTCCATGGGCTTCCCCATCCTCAAAAAACCCTTAACTTGATCTGTCCATCCCTGCTACTGTCCTACAATCTTTCCTCTCTTTTTCATGGCTAAACTGTGTGAAATGGCTGTCTACAC